AAGGAGCTGGAGAGCTCAGCACCACAGAGGCGCAAGCTGCAAGGGGCCGGAGACCTAGTGCCAGAGGGGCATAAGCTACAAGGGCCAGGGGCCCAGTAATAAGAGGAGTTTGTGGGCTAGTGCCTCAAAGCTAGGCCCAACACAATGGGTCTAGGCTAGAAGGCCTAGCTATATCAAAGGGGTGGAGTCCGAGTAGGCCAAGGTCCCAACAGAGCATAACAGCAATGTAACACCCATCAGGCATGGGGCATAGTAAAGGGGGAGGGGGATTTCAGCCACACAATTGGCCCATAAGGCCTGAGGTACCTTGTGCAGCACCGTACTGAAGAGAGGCCTGGCAAAGGGCCTACAGGTCAGAGAGCTTGAGTAAGGTTCAGCAAACTAAGAGTAAGTGAAGGCTCATGGGCAGCCTCCTGAATTATTTTTCCATCAAAGGTGTGACAGGTGAGATAAGAGGGTGCCCTTAGGACAGAGCTTGCATGGTTACAGAGCCACCAGGGTATCATGGCCACCCTTGGGGATCTCGCTCCGTGACATGCTACACAAAATGAATAACAATTGTAGTGGGATAATTGAGTAGATTCACAGAAGCATAGTGAACTTGATAAAATATATAACTTAGGATCCTTCAGAGGAAATTATATAGTTTTCAGATGCCATAGATGCCCCATAAATTAATGAAAAAGTGATTTATAAAAGTGCCAGCAGTTACTGGGACTTAGGGGAAGAATATTCAGAAATTGTACATATAAGACTGTTACACAGAGTGTAAATGTAGTAGGAAATATTGCTTAAGATCAGTAGAATATTAAGTACAGATTTCTTCATTGGATTCAAAAGCAGTAGAAGTTTTTATTTATGGATTGGCTTTATTGCTAAAGGATGCCCAATATATTGTAAACAAACATGGTTCATGAAAATAGAAGTGTATCATAGATTACAGGATCTAGATGTTTAGAAGAGAATTGCTTTTAACTGAAGTGGTAAATCATAATGATTTCCAGATGTTTGGTTCCATTTCCCAGCAGTTTATGAGTACTTATGTTCATACTCAAATATGAATTGGAAAATATTGATGTGGACATAGACTCCATAAAACGCATGTGCCGTGATACATTTAAATGTGAAGGTCCCCACTAAGATGTCTCAGGGTAGATTTCAGCCAGCGGCCAATAGTTCCAAGTTCTACAAACATGAGAGCAGATATGAAGGCAAGATGCCACATATGCTCTTGGAACTAATAGGATTCATGGCTGGAAGCTGGAAGCCCAGCCCATTCCCTTTCTCAGCTTAGGAGATAAGAAAGATGAGATAAGGGGAATCATATGCCGTTGCAGACATGGAAGAATGCCATGCCATTTTCCAGCAACTTGGTTGAAGCTCATACCCAAATAACACCCTGGGTTACAAGGAGCTGCTTTAACCTACCGGTCACACCAGAACACACCTAAGTTATGAGGAATGTATATTTAAACCCAAACCTAGACTTTTGCCAGATAGCATGCCAGGTGGTAAGTAAAAATCCATACAAGATTTATCAATTGTGTTATATAGAAAAAAGTCTCTTCTAGACTTTGGGCCCTGCCATATCTTATTTTCTTACATACCACACACCCCCAAATAAGATACACATCTTGTTTTGGGGAATGGAGAGTGAAGAAAAAATATTTTTCTGGAGTTATGTCAACATAGAGCAGAGACAGTGCCTAATCTGAAATGTCTTCACACTCCCTTTCCTGATTAACCAAAAGCTGAAACCCCTAGCTGCTGCTGGAGACTGATCTCTGTGGGTAGATCTATGATTTTGAAAAGAACTAAAAACACTTCCCAGTTGAAATGGGAAAAGACATACCAGGAGAAGCTAACAGATAGAAAAAAATGCCAAAGTAAGGTCAGCTTGACTAGTTGAAAATCAAGAATATCCAAAAGGAGAGGAAATCATTAATACCTGTGGAGTGAAGAACAATGTGCCATTAAGTGAATTTACTCCCTCAGCTGCCTGAGTGAAATACCACTGCTACTGTCAGGAAGAACAGGAATTAAAGTGAGGTGCTTCTATTCTAGGACAAAACTCAGCTTTTCCATTTAAGATACACATGCCAATTTTAGGGGATAAGTTTGGGGGAAAAGGTGTGTATGGTACATGACTAGTATAAGATCCAGCAAACTATGTGACAGTGAAACTGGAAAGAAGTCCAAAATAACCATCTGCCAAACAAAAACAGGAACAATACCCTCTTCTCATCACCTTAGTAGGTGACCTATCCAGACCCCTCACTGTTGCAGCTGGAGTAGTGGGATAGACTCCATTGCCAGCACACGGAACAGGAAGGAGAAGTAATGAAATTGGAGGATCACTACCACTCCGTATAGCACTGTTTTACCAACTTCTACTTGAAATCACTTTTAGGTTGAGATGGCCTCTGTACTTCTAGACTAGAATTGAGCAGAAAATAGTTTCCCCAGGCTATATGAGTTTCAGACTTTGAAATTTTTCCCTTCCAAAATCCAAATAAGATACCACAGTGCCAGGGGCTTTTATGGACCAATGAGCTGTAGGGAAAAAAAATAACCAGGTCAATCAATGCTTTAATTAAGATCATTTTGAAATGTTTCATTTTGATATTGCATGTTTTTAATTGTGCTATATATAAACTCAAATTTCAAAATGAAAAGTCACTTTGAACTGGAAATAAAAATAATTTGAAAGTGTCATATAGAACTTTTCAACACTTTCAAAACTTTTTTTGAAACATTTTTCATATCAGGATTTCTGAAAACTGACCCTTCTCTGTGCACCTTCTCAGTTTCAATAAATAAGCATTTTCTAATGGAAACCATTTTGTCTAAAACATTCTGTCACCCCCAACTTGTGGGGAAAGAATTTTCTTTCTAAAATGTTCCTTTAAATTAAAGCCTTTCTAATCCTTAATATTTATAAACGATACAAAATTTGGCACTCATAAAGGTTTGTTGGGGTATATACTGTAGTTTGATCACGTTACTCAGAATCATTGTCTAAAAAAATATACTGCTGTACCTTGCACTTGTTAACCCACAGATCAGTACTATCAGAAATCATGGGTGTCAAATGTATGGCCCGCAGGCTGGATCTAGTCCATACAGCCTTGTCATCTAACCCCTGGTCTCAGAACAATGCACAGACAGAATGCAGGGCGTGCTGGATAGCCCTGTGTGCTGCATGCAGCGATGCCTCCAGGTCACAATCTAGAGCAGTGGAGCAGCCATTGTGTGTAGCATAGCCCTAAAGCAATTGCATGCCACTCTATGGCCATGATGCCCATGGTGGCTGCTCCAGGGCTGTGTACTACAACTGCACAACAGTTGTATTGGGGCCCTGCTGCACAACTCTGGAGTGACCACAGCAGGAATGGGCCACATATGGCACCCACCCCAGCTACTGCAGGACACATAATGAATCTAGAATGTGGGGCTGGTCTGTGGGTCCAGTTCAGCCTTCATACCAGCCCCATTTTATTCATTCAGTCCACAAGGCCAGATACACTTGGCATCCCTGTCATGAATAATTGAAATTAAACCCTGCTGACAATTTGAGACTTTCTGTACTTTACAATATGTCTAAAAATAAAGATCTTCCTCATTGAAATTGTAATATTTTAGTAATTTTAGAGTTAAAAGCAAAACATATGTTTTTTCTGCCTTATTGTACTTCTATTACTTGCATCTGAAATGCTTTGTAAGCATCATTTTTACTCTTTCAGGTTATCTGTTACTCTGTCATGCCCTTTGGACTTGACTTTGTTTCCTATGGATACACAGCGTTGCAAGATGCAATTGGAAAGCTGTATGTAAATCAGTCTATTTCTAAAAATAGGTACCTTCTAGACTTGTCTGGAAATCAAACAAACAATCTATATTATATTGTTAATGTTGCCATTTTGTAATGAGTTGTTTAAATTCATATCAGTTGATTGCTCCAAATATAAATTGGTGCATCTTTTCTGTAAAAACTGATTGTTTATGGAATCATTATTACTAGATGTTGCTACCAAATATAACAGTAGCTGAAGACATTTATGGTGGATTGGGAAAGAAATGGGTATGAATATCACTTGGAATCAGTAATTCCCTTGGATAGTTTGGGGCTCAGTTCAACACTGGTATAGTTAAGTGTAATCAATTAAAGTAAATAGATTTCTACCTTCTTACACCAGGTTTGAATGATGTTTTATAGGGTTTATTGACCCTGGGCTCAATCTTAGATTTGCCTATGTGTTTATTTTCTTGAATTTTTTTAGTAAACTTATTAAGGTGCCTTTGCTGCAAGATTTTTGGATTTGTTTTCCAAACTGTATATAGTTAGGTCATAATCCTGACCTCGGGCACATACGTGCATGTCAGAAACTTTAGCAGAATATGGGAATGATGAACTCCATGCTACATTTTAGCTTTGTGGGGTTCTGATGTCCCAACAAATATGCACTAGAACAGCTATGCAGGCTTTCATAACTTGTGCTTAAAGGCACCAAAATGGGATATGGTTTACTAAAACAGAACAATGATACACTAAAAAGATCTGCATCCGTTGAAGGCCTTCCTTGCCGTTCTTTCTCTGACATTTTATGATACTTGTTTATCATTCAGCAGTTGTCAAAGTTACAGGAAATCTTTGCTTACCTTTCCACATGATCACATCACTTCATCCATCTGGCTCCTTAGTTTCTCTTCTCAGTTCTCAGCCCCCTTATGGCAATACATAGGATTTTGAGGCTGGTACAAGTAATAGATAATATGGGATGTCCAAAAAGGCTTTAAAATGAAGATAATCTAGAAAGATTCCCTTTGCTTAGTTTAAAAAAGAGAGGAATAATAGAATATGTAATAGGTCAAAGGTAGTAAATTGAATACTCCTATTGATCCTTCTTTGTAATACAAGGAAAAAGGAGTATTTATTGAAGCTGCAAGGCAGAAAATTTACAATGGATAGTAGGTCATGTTTTTTACTTAAATACAGTTAGCCTTTGGCACTTATTTTCACTTGGTATCATTGTGGTAAAGGATACACACAGATTCAGGAAAGAATTAGATATTTCTATGAATAAATGACATAGCCATAGATACATTAGATAAGATTTTATTGTAATTAGAAGGAACATAACTCCTCGTGTGTGATAGAATTAGCTAAAATATGACTGAAAGTAACAGGAGAAACTTCTTCTATGGCTAGGTTACCTGATAACTGTCAACTGTAGCATTTCATGTGTTTTTTCTCTGAAGTATCTGGTCCAGCAACTACTAGAGAGAAGATAGTGAACTTGATTGACTGTTGCTCTGATATGGTGTGACAGTTCCTCTGTTTGCGCCTCAACTTATATAAGCCACCAAGTCTTCAGATTTATGTCTCTATATTACCATCATCATTTAGTTTGTGGAGTGGTTAATACTGCACTCAGAATTTATATGAAATCCATTCTTGTCCCAGTACTGTCAACTGTTTCTGCTATAAGCAGAAGTTAGGCTCCTCCTATAAAGTATAGGAGAAAATCAGCTTCTCTAATAATATTGACTACGTTACTACACATGTCAATTTCTATTTTTTGCCAATTGACCTTATGCCACATAAGGTCAGTTGAAAAATTACTCATGTCCAAAAGTTCAGTAACTTTTTCTTCTTTGCTGCATTTAACTCTTGTGCCACATGCTCTGAGGGCCATATATAACACCAATGCCAATATCCTTTGTTTGAATGGCCAAAGTGATAAATAGATCTGAGTCCTTTCTCATCTGGTTTTGCTTTGATATCTTTACCTACTGTTCTTTTGTCTCTAGTGGTTCTTGTGCCTTTGGTTCTAAACCACTTTTCCTAAGAATTCTTCTTTATCTCACTTTTCTCATTTGCCATTTCACAATTTAATCATAGCTCTCACTTTGAAGCCTGTGAGGTGATTAGCCATGTTAGTCTGAAGTCAAGCAGAAGATAGGGAAAGGTGTGGCACCTTAGGGTACCTGTAGATGTGTGGGATGTTTGCCTCGATCAAATTAATCAAGCAGACTTGATTAATTGATTCTGCTGGAGCATACACTCCAGCAACCTCGGTGTCTCATGTATTCAGTGTCCCCACACTTCAAAATGGCAGTGGGGGGTGCTTTAGCTAAAGCTCATCAAATGGGCTGCTTGCGAAGTAGTGGCAACAAGGTGTGAAGGCAGGGAGCAGAGCCCAGCCTACTTTTGCCCGGAGCAGCCAGGAGCAGGAGCTAGGGTGAGTGGGGCCCCGGCCGGCCTGGGTGGTGGTACAAGTGGAGACCTGGGGGAATGTGCCCCCCCAACTGTGTGTGGGACAGAGGTGGCTGCTGCTGCTGCATGCTCTGCTTTGCTCTCTGCTGCAGTTGCCCCAGGAGCAGCCAACAGCACATGCCTGGCACTGTTGAGCTGTGGTGAGATGTATATGGCATCATGCAGCTCTCGGGGCAGTGGGGCTCAAAGCCCAGCACACAGCAGCAGCCGCCTCCACCCAACACACAGATCAGGGCC